TATCCGGAGACTCCACTGATTAAGAATTATGCCATAGTGCCCTAAATTACAAAAGAGAGTAGCTGCAAAATTAAGCATCAGTAACAAACTCGACAATAATAGGAAAAGTATTGCAAAATTGCATAACAAAATATTACATTTCTAAATCTCTGAATATTATTACTTCAACTGCTCCCTGCAGTTGTTTCCACAGTATGCTTTCTAATGAAGTATCAACAGGGTTTAATCTAAATTTCAGAAAATTTTGCTTAACAGTAATTACTTACAGCTCCAGGATCCGCAACAAAAATCCTTGAAATTAAATGGCAACACTCAGGAGATATTTGGACAAAGTCAGGAATGGAATACTGAACACTAAGAATTCTCTGCATGAATCAGATAAGACTTGTATTCAGTCAATCAATTCATGTCGAAAGGACATAAAGGCAGTACTAATGTCCAATTAGTTACTTGTATAGTTTTCCGGAAGTCCTTTGGCTCATCAGGATCCTCAAAAGGATATGCCCCAACCAGCATCACATACAAAGTCACACCACATGACCACACATCTGCTATCTGACATTGTATCAGATTGACAAACAGTCAAACATATTACCTTTAAATCATTACATTGTAATGTAAAATATAAATTAATTCAAATAAGCATATAAACCTAAAGCACAACTTGCTTGAAGAGGAAATGAGCATATGGAAGAGAAGCAGAGAGAGTTGAATGTAAGCATGATTAAATACCTACAGCAGAACCTATTTGTTTGATGATATGCATGCAAAATCCAAAGTTCAACAGATGCTGTAAGTGGCTCAAGTTAGGTAGTGAGTGAAGACTAAAGAGAAGCCAATTGACCTTTCTCTCTTTCAACTCTATGTATAGGAAAGGAGCATTAAACCACAAATGCAGAGTTAAAGAGCAGTATATCAGCCCATTAGACATCTGTGTTCTATCAGCAGAATTTGTGCATGTATAAATAGTATACTTGTGTTTTTAAACACCCCCCCCCCCCAAAAAAAAAAAAAAGAAAAAGAAAAAGAAAAACACAAACAAGAAGTAGCAACTAGCTTTATCTTGTAAAACATACTTTGCCATCGTATTGCTGCCTCAGTAGTACTTCAGGAGCTATGTAAGCAGGAGTTCCAACAGTAGACTTTGGTTGTGAATGAAGAACTGAAGACTGAGAAAAACAACCACAAATACAAAATTAATCTAGCTACAATCATGGATAACCAAGAAGAAGACAATAGTCACGGGATATTACGCTCACCAAAATGTTTTATGATGAAAGAAAAAAAAAAGGATCCAAACAAAAGAACAAAAAGAATACAAAATTATCAAACTGGAAAGGAAATTTCTAAACCTCCAATTAACTGTCATATGGAATATGATGTATAAGCACCAAATGAAAACAGGAAAAGAAGAAAATTCTGGGAAAGAATCAGATACTAAAGACTAGTAAAGCAAGGACTAGTTATTCATATATTCTATATATCCTAATAGAATTGTTTGAAGCTAAATGCCAGACTCAATCTATGTTGAGGCTCTACCATGATATAAAGGCAAATCCCCGAATTGAAAACATAATTTTACAATCTGCCATGTCACACAGTGCAGAAGCATTTATGTCAAAGGGGAAACACCAACTAGCAGGAAAATGTAACTCTAACAAGTTCATGATCTAACCAGGGGTTCCAAACTCAAACTTGAGATCCCTAGTTCCGAAAGATTATTGTGCAACTAGACATTAACTCAAGTAAGAAAGAGAGGGACAACCTGTACCTTGGAATACCCAAAATCACATATTTTAAGCCTTGGAGCTGGGCTTCCATCCAACAGAGTGTTCTCCAACTTTAAGTCGCGGTGACATACTTGCTTCACAAAAAGAAATCATATCACGGAGAAAATAACTTGTCAAGTTTGCATCCAATAAATATAAAGAACAAAATTTCAGAACTTTATTAAAAGAAGAAGAAGAAGAAGAAGAGAAATACCATTGCATGGCAATAGCTAACTCCAGAAATAAGTTGTTGAAAGAAGAATCGAGCCTGAGCGAGAAACAATAACACAGTAACCATAAAAAAATTAAAAATACAATAAATAATAAATAAAAAGCACAGAATATAGTTAAATAAATATAAGATAATGTAAGGAGAACCTCATCCTCAGTAAAGCGCCCGGCATTGCATATTCTCTCAAAAAGCTCTCCACCAGATGCATATTCCATTACAATGGCCAAATGCGTAGGTGTTAAAATAACCTTCATCAGCATTATTCAAAAAGTAGCAAATTAAGCCACGACCACTATGACAAATATACCACCACAGTTATTAACAAGCTTACCTCTTTAAACTTAACAATGTTGGGATGCCTCAAAGACCGATGATTAATGATTTCTCTCTGAACATTTTCATCTATCTGCAACCCATGAAAACACATAAAGGAAGCTAGGCAATTTCCAAACTTCCATAATTCTCATTACAAAGGGCTCCTTTTTATTGCCTACTGCTCATGTGTCACGGCTCCCTTTTATTGCCTAGACAGACCAAAGGCCAGTCATTCTCTAATTCGACCAACTAGCCAAAACCAATCCCAAGTGAAATCCTTATGCCCATTTTCAACCATTAACTGGCCAGGCGACATTCAAATTAAACACACTACTGTCCTATATGAACTCTCCACATACCCAGAATGGACCTGCCACCCAACCCTTTCCCAACAATGAAACAATAATCAATTTATAAGTAGCAGCTACTTCACTTCACCCGAGTAAAAGATTTAAGTATTGCCCGATTGCCTCCTATCATCTCCTTTCACTATCAAGCAGTAAAGAACAATTTTCCCAGATCAAATTTTACTCAAATAGTTGGTAATTAGATTCCGGACCTCAACATAATCATCTAACCCATTAATGGCCGAAAGTTCAATAAAAATATACAGCTTAAAAATTGAAAATCAAATAAAATAAAGAAAAACCACCTGAACTCGCCATTAATTCCGTAACTAAAATCTAATAAACCAAATACAACTTTAAATTCAATAAATATACTATAATTATGAATTATCCAAATCAATCGATTTCCATAAATAGAAACAGAAGGCAGAAGCAAAGTCGTTATGAATTTCCTAAACAAACCTTATCGCCTCTCTCGATGTACTTCACAGCAACAAGCTCCTTAGTGACCTTATCTCTCATGAGTCTCGCCACCCCGAAGTTTCCCGACCCTATATCCCTGACGAAATCGTAACGGTCACTGTCGTGCATGATCGGCATGTCCATGCTAGGTCCCACCGTCAACGCCGGCCGATCCATCCCGTTCAGTTTCTGATTTAGCCTTATCCGAATTTCCGAAGACAAAAACCCAAGATTACTCCACCGAACTAAACCGCATGAGAGAACGCCGATAATTGAAGACTCCGAGCTCGAAAGCGGCCAAGGCGCGAAATATTCCGGAGATATTCCTTTCTTCCTCCTCTCGTTGATCGTCGACGGAATAAATATCTGTTTCAGTGTTGAACTGCAAGGACTTCTTTTGGGGAGGCGTGGGGGTTGAAGAGGAATGAATATTTCCGAGGAAAAATCTGCTACGCACAAGGCGAAGGCGGTGGCGGATGAGACTAGAAGCGGTGTCGTTTTGAACCGCTTGGTTTCTGCGCAACAATGGTAATGGGCGTGGGCATAATTGACCGCAACCGAAAAATTAAGGCTAAACCTCCATTTTGGATTTTGGTCCCTCAACTATTATATAGACCTCTGATTTAGTCCCTCAACTCAAAAAATCCCTGATTATCACCCTACTGTTTACCATTTTGACCTCGATTTGGTCTCTCCATTAAATTTTTGCTAAGGTGGCTTGTTAACCAATGGGCAGGGGCACATCTTTTTAATAAATAAAATATGTGGAATTTATACTGTGTCCAAATATATGACATGGCAAAAAAATTATCCAAATAATCTTTAACCATAATAAAATGACTATATTACCTTTATCTTCAACCTCTAAAATCTAAATCCTTATTTCTCTCTCCCTTCCCCAACACCAGATCTAGGTTCTCTTTCCTCTTCCTTTCCTTTGCATTTTGCAAACCTTTATACTTTCCTCTTCAACCTCTACCATTGTTGGGTTTGAGAACCTCACAGAGCTGCC